CCCCCCCCCCTTCCCCCCCCCCCCCCCCCCGCCACCACCACCCCTCCTCACACAAGCAATGCCGGATATTAAGGATAATTCATGTTAAATATGGATCTCTCATGTTGGAGAAATCACAGATTTATAATAATTTTCATTTTTATTACAATAGCTAACGAAGAAAGATCTGCTTTGTACATAAATTTGTAAAACTAAGTCTTGCATCGATTAATAAGAAATTGAGGTCATGAACTTAGTTATTCAAGACATCTTTCCTCAAACAGCTGCCTTTTAGATTTTTTAATGTGCATTGGGACTATGTAAATTGTACTGTCAGAAGGGTTTTCAGGAAAATTACTGTATATAAATTAAATGTTCAGTGTCGCCCGGGAGCGGACTCATTTTTAAGGATTAGACCTAGCCTCATTTCTCTAGACTTAACCTGTGTACAGCCGCCCCCTCCCCTCAGAAAAAAAACAACTTTATTCTGACAGGAGGGCACCTATACACAGGCTATTTGAACTTAAACATTTTACGTAAACTCGGATGGGGAGAGTGTTGTGGCTATAACAGAATCATCAAAGCACGGCTGCATAGTGAGGAAGCCGTATAACTTTAGTATTTTTTTTCTTAGTTTTAGATAAAAAGGTCTACACTTTTTACTCATGTGGGAACCTTATAATATCAAAAGTGGGAACAGAAGTTAATTGGACTTAACTTTGGGCCTTTTGCGGTTTCTCTTGTCATCTGTGCACGAGCATGAAACTAAACAATAAAGTCACAAACGATAGAAATATTTCTTTGTGTTACGTGTTCTGCAATAAAAAAACGTTAGGGATAGAGCTGATAAGAAATGACTCTTGATTTGGCTCAAAATGTTCCGATCCATACATTAAAGGTGAATCATTCAAAACCCTCAAAATTGACCTAAAAATCGACCTCAGAAAACCAGGCCCCAGAAGGCCGATCTATACTTCACAACAAAACAGGGACAATCGAGCTAAAACATCGGCATAATGTGAAACTAAAGGCGCTTTCCATTTGTCAGAACTGACCTGCCAGCTCATTCACATCGTAATGAGAATTCCCCTTTTAATCAAAACTAACCATCCAGATCAGTCAAATCCTAAATATTATGCACAAAGGAGATGATTTTTCAGCAAAACCTCTTGGAAAAAAGCCTGTTTCATTGCCAAAATGTTTGGTTCGCGATCGGCCATAGTCCGACCAGGCAGTTCTGACTTTTGGAAAGCGCCCTAAGTAACTAAGTAACAGTAACAGTCACTAAATGTACCCAATAGGCCATTTTCACTAAGAGGTCATGTGACATCGTTTTTATGAAAATGAAAGTTATAGGATTTTGACTTCGAAAAACGATTAGTGGGTCATATCTTAAACAAAATGATCGTGATTTGGTTTTTCAAACCCGCACCATTTTCTTAAAATGAGTAATTTCGTAGCTGGTCACGTGACCAAAATATGATTTTTAAAATTATGAATTACCTCTTTCTGAACACAAATTTTGCACTTAAACTTCAAGGAAAATGTTGAAAATATGATGTGGTAATGATTACAGCACATCTGAGCGTAACTATCAAACTTTTAACAGGATATATGCAAAAAGTAGTTTTGGCCGCCATCTTGGAGGGCAAGAGTATGCCCTCCAACATGGCGGCCAATAGAAATCATACTACTCTTTTAAAAAATCAAAGTGCCATAAAATATCTCCCTTAAATGTGTTTCCCCTCAAATTTCGGGTGTAAGATAATTTTTATGTGCTCTGACAATTTTTGGCACCAGCAAGATTCCAACTCATTGTTTAAAGGAAGCATTGGTCACGTGACCTCTTAGTGCAAGTGGCCTATTTGACCAAAATCGACCGACACCTATTTCCAAGCATACAACACTCTCTCAGGCAGAACTTCTCAACTATATTTTCATTTGGTATCACAGGAGTTTCAAAAATGATTAGTTTTTGTACTTAATATAACCTCCTTTTTGCTTTCTGAATAATTAGGTAGGGTACACAAAGATGTTTTTTTAAGTATTTTCATCTTAATTTATAGAAAAAAGTTTCAAGGGATTCTGCATGAAATATTGTGTTATAACAGACAGAATTATTCAGGAGATGCGTTAGTTAGATTAAATCTAGGGACGAAGAAGTGGAAAGTTCTATCATGTCTTATCTGTCTAATGGAGACAAAATATTTTCAATTGATTTCAAATGTACTAATGACAACTATTTTGCTTTTTTTTTTACCTCCACGCACCTCTAAAGAAACACTATACGCCCAAGAAACAGTTCAACTTTTAATACTAAAACCTCGAAATGGCAGAAAGAATACTACAAGATATAGCTGAACAAAAAATACGTCTTACAATAGCGCAAATCACTGAAAACAGGGCAGAGCAACTAGGTGTCTGCTACACTCTAGCTACAGATTATTCCTCCCTCGGTGACTTCCATCAAGCAATAGAGTACCACAAGCAATACCTGAGCATTGCTAAGGAAGACAGTTGCANTTGTGTTATAACAGACAGAATTATTCAGGAGATGCGTTAGTTAGATTAAATCTAGGGACGAAGAAGTGGAAAGTTCTATCATGTCTTATCTGTCTAATGGAGACAAAATATTTTCAATTGATTTCAAATGTACTAATGACAACTATTTTGCTTTTTTTTTTACCTCCACGCACCTCTAAAGAAACACTATACGCCCAAGAAACAGTTCAACTTTTAATACTAAAACCTCGAAATGGCAGAAAGAATACTACAAGATATAGCTGAACAAAAAATACGTCTTACAATAGCGCAAATCACTGAAAACAGGGCAGAGCAACTAGGTGTCTGCTACACTCTAGCTACAGATTATTCCTCCCTCGGTGACTTCCATCAAGCAATAGAGTACCACAAGCAATACCTGAGCATTGCTAAGGAAGACAGTTGCAGAGCATGTGAAGGAAAAGCCTATTTCAATCTCGGCCATGCTTATGGATCCCTCAGGGAATTCCAACGAGCAATAGAGTACCACAAGAAAAGCTTGTGCATTGCCAAGGAAATCGGTGACAGGGAACTAGAAAAAAGGGCCTGTTGTTATCTCGGCATTCTTTATCAATCCCTCAGAGAATTCCAACGAGCAATAAAGTACCACAATCAACACCTCAGCATTGCCAGGGAAGTTGGTCACAGGCGTTGTGAAGGAGATGCCTATTATAGTCTCGGCTTTATTTATCAATCCCTTAGCGAATTCCAACGAGCAATAGAGTGCCACAAGGAATTCTTGTACATTGCCGAGGAAATCGGTGACAGGAAAGCAGAAGGATGTGCCTATCGTCATCTCGGCACTGCATATCAATCCCTCAGCGAATTCCAACGAGCACTAGAGTACCACAAGGAAAGCTTGTGCATTGCCGAGGAAGTTGGTGACAGGAAATCGGAAAGCAGAGCCTATGACAGTCTCGGCACTGTTTATCATTACCTCTGCGAATTCCAACGAGCAATAGAGCACTACGAGGAAAGCCTGAGAATTGCCAGGAACGTCGGTGACAAGGAAGGAGAAGGATGTACCTATGGTAATCTCGGCAATGTTTATCAATCCCTCAGCGAATTCCAACAGGCAATGGATTGCCACAAGAAAAGCTTGAGCATTGCCAAGGAAATCAATGACAGGGAAACAGAATTACTTGCCTATTGTAGAATCGGCACAGTTTATGGTTCCCTCGGTAACTATGAACGAGCAAAAGGGTACCATAAGCAATCCCTGAGCACTGCCAAGGAATTCGGTGACAGGAAAGGAGAAGAAGTTGCCTGTTGCAATCTCAGCGGTGATTATCATTCTCTCAACGACTTTAAAAAGGCAATAAAGTACTCAATGCAACACCTGAGCATTGCCGATGAAATCGGTGACAGGATGGGAAAAGGATGCGCCCATAACCACCTGGGTTCATATCTTTTAGAATTAGGTTCTCTGAATGAAGCTTTAGATCATTTTAGATGCAGTGTAAAAATCTATGACACAGTTAGAGCCAGTTATATTTCCGAAGATGGATCGAAAATAAGTTTTCGTACGCATCATGAATCTTCCTATACTAATTTATGGCAGGTTTTAGTAATGCTTGAAAGGAATGATGAGGCTTTATACGCTGCTGAGAGGGGACGGGCACAGGCTTTGTTCGATGCCTTAAAAGTAACTTATGGCCTTACATCACTTTCTCCCGGGTCAATTGAATCTGAAGAAGAAGTCAGATATATTTCAAGGAAGACAACTGTTTTAACAGTTTTTCTTGCCCTTCATTTGAAAACAGTCAATATCTGGGTGTTGGGAAAAGAGGGCAACCCTGTTTTTAGGCAAAAGGAGATAGAAATTGGACGTGAACACGAAGATTCCTTTACTTTCCTTTTAGACACTGTTTTGAAAAACATTAGGGCTGGCGTCGGTATTAGATGCGAAAATCGGTCAATGGATAAGCTGAGTGATGACTCAACTCCCTCAAGCACTCTAGACGACAATCGAACATCGGAGCCATCACAGGGGACCACCGACCTTTTACAGCCATTATATGATGCAGTTCTTGGTCCCATTGAAGACTTGCTTGATGGTCATGAACTAATTGTAGTTCCTGACGGCGCTTTGTCTAAAGCTCCTTGGGCAGCCCTGAGTGAAACTCTAAGGATCCGCACTGTTCCCTCACTGACAAGTTTGAAAGTCATCACAGATTCTCCACGTGAATACCACAGTAAAAGTGGAGCCCTGCTTGTTGGAGATCCATGCTTGAAGAAAATTACAAATAAATGGGGGAACCCCATTTATGATCCTCTGAAGTACGCAAGAATGGAAGTGGAAATGATTGAAAAAATTCTAAAGAGTCAATCCTTAACAGGTGAAGATGCAACCAAAGAAGCAGTACTTCAGAATATCGGGTCGGTTGCTTTGGTTCACATCGCAGCCCACGGAAGAAAGGAAACTGGAGAAATTGTTTTGGCTCCAGACCCCCGATGGGAATCCAAGACTCCTACGGAGAAGGACTATATTTTGAAAATGTCTGACATACAAGCTGTGAAGCTGAGAGCAAGGCTAGTTGTGCTTAGTTGCTGCCATAGTGGTCAAGGACCGGTCTCGTCTGAGGGTGTGGTCGGTATGGCACGTGCTTTCTTGTTTGCTGGTGCTCGTTCCGTGCTGGCGACACTCTGGGCAATTGATGACGAAGCCACAATGATGTTTATGAAGTCTTTCTACGAACACCTTGGAAGTGGAGAAAGTGCAGCTGTTGCTCTTCAGAGGGCCATGAAATGTCTTCGAGACTCCCAGGATTATTCTGCTCCAAAGTACTGGGCTCCTTTTGTTCTGATGGGCGATGACGTTAGGATTGAATTGGAAAAAGGTCATTGAGGAAGTCGTAAGTGGAGATTTTTTTCCTTGCTGTTGTAGTAACNGCCATAGTGGTCAAGGACCGGTCTCGTCTGAGGGTGTGGTCGGTATGGCACGTGCTTTCTTGTTTGCTGGTGCTCGTTCCGTGCTGGCGACACTCTGGGCAATTGATGACGAAGCCACAATGATGTTTATGAAGTCTTTCTACGAACACCTTGGAAGTGGAGAAAGTGCAGCTGTTGCTCTTCAGAGGGCCATGAAATGTCTTCGAGACTCCCAGGATTATTCTGCTCCAAAGTACTGGGCTCCTTTTGTTCTGATGGGCGATGACGTTAGGATTGAATTGGAAAAAGGTCATTGAGGAAGTCGTAAGTGGAGATTTTTTTCCTTGCTGTTGTAGTAACAAAAGGTTTAAAAAGAAAAACCAGAGCCATTCTTGTCAAATTCAGATAAGAGGAAAATGACAGACTTGATAATAAAAAGAATAAAGAGAAAAAATATGTACAAAGTAAGGATTGGTTGGGTGGTAAGTGTTAAATTGTTATGGATTCACTCAAGTAAATGCTATTCCTAACCGGCTACCAACACATTTCAAAAATCAATTGAACACTAGGCATTGCTTAATGTTCTCAATTGTTAAATAGTTTAGGCCAGGTGTGGATAAAAGATATACATAGGGAATAAGTTTCCTTCGTTTTTCTACAGGACTAGCACAATACGTAGAGAAATTCATAGCTTCAAAACGAACAATTATGTCTAACATGTTAAATGTTTTTCATTTTGCTTTTTTTCATATGATCATCCATGGCATCCTAAAATATAACGCTTTGACCTTTATTTTGTTTTCAAATGAAAGATTAATTAATGTATCAATTGTTACTTTCTTTGCAGGGATGCGCTGAAAGTTTGATGTCAACACAACTGCTGAAGTAGCGTGTATATATCTGGATTTCCCCAAAGAAAGAAGTGCGTTATTTAATCATAGCTGTCCTCAATGGGGCGTTTGGTAAAAAAGCGTGTTTTCATTTTAGTCATTTTTTTTTCAGAAGATATTAAATAGAGAGATTTATAGTCACGCTAACGGCAAATGGCAAACGTCTACATATTCAAGTTGAGAATTTCTCAAAATAGAAAATATGCAGATAAAATGAAAACAACTCAAAGCAATTATTTTGGATAAAACTAACTTGAAACTAACAATTTTTTTATAGATTTATTTAACAGCAAACGAGAAAGCTCGAGAAGTAAAGGGAACACTTATTCACGTGGTACAAATCCACGGTTTGCCGTAAACGTAACTCTAAATCTCTCTAATTAATAACTTTAAAAAAAAAGTTGTAAATCAAAGGGCATACTGTATACTGTGGAGCTCTATATTAGCCACGGCTACACTTATCAATTTTAACTTAGGAAAAAGACAAACAATTTTCGTGGGGAAAGAACTTAACGTTGTTTACAAGCATTTCGTTACTCCCGCGAAACTGACTGAATAGTAGTACACATAATTGCCCCTTTCTCGTGTAACCTACCTTAACCGGCAAATTGTAATTTGGCAAAGGAAAATTGCATTGTAATAGTTGTAATATTGATGATAATTATCATTATCATCATCATAATCCTAATAATTCCTTTTCAGTTTTTTTCCTCTAGGCTGTAAAGCAAATGACTGAAACAAATAATTCAAATTAATTTAACAGGGTTAACCTTCGGACGTACACGCAATAAATACCCCAGCGTGGTATAAGGGGGAGGGGTGGATGAAACCCCTCCCTAGAGTTTTTGATCATGATAATTTCCCGTATTTCGAAACGATTTTGCCTGCAGTGGAAAGCCTTTGATTTACTCAACAAGATGAGGTTTATTTTTAATGGGTGGTGGCGCTGCTGGAGGCCTGTGACGTCACTAACAATGGTCGCCATCTTGGATTTCACCAAGAATTAGAAATCAGGTTAAAATCGCGATAAATGATAATTTTCTGTACTTTACGTGTAAAATAACATTTAAATAAGCCCTTTGCATTATTTCATTGACAGGTTTTTCTTTAATTGTTAAAAAAAGTGGAAAGAACAGGCATTTTCACTCAAAAATGGCTTGACCAACTGCTACTTAAGACATCATATGTCGTAACCATAGTAACTGACCATCACTAAACTTGTCTCAAAATGCGCGCGAAGGATAAACGAACAGCTTCTGAAAACGTCAGCTGCTGATGTTCTATCGTCTAAAAAAAAATTTAAAAACGTCAGGGGAGGGGGAGGGGGAGGTGGTTGTGTACGTCCGAGGGTTAAGAATCCCAAGTCTCCTAACGGGACGGAGACGAACCAATTAACTATGTACAAGCGTGCCCGTGGTTTCACTAGGGTGATTCAGATTTTAATCAGATAATTTAAAAATTTTAAGTATGCACTGTAAGTATTTTGTGCATTCTGAACTGTGATTCTGAACCGCGGGTTACAATTCAGTGGTTTAAGGTCTGGGTTAAAGGGGTGTATTACGTTTTGTTTGATTGATCCTCGGTTTCCCAGCTGAACTAGTTATATTTTTTTGAAAAAAAATTAATATGCTCATGTCTTGTTGATCCTTAATGTATATATTGGTGGACAGTACAAAATGCAGACTGCAGACTGAATGCAGACCATTGTTTTCAGGGTTAGAAAACAATGGGACTATCAGTGGCTTCATGGCTTAGTTGGTTAGAGCGTCGCACCGGTATTTTTTTCAGCCTTCTTACGCAACTGCATAAATCGCGTTCACAACTGCGAGGATCATTCTTCATTTGATTTCATTTCCGCAGTTCTCATATATGATTTATTTCATATGCATTTGTCATTGGGACTATTGTTGTCACGTTCCCTTTTGCATGGTGAAAACAATGTTTTGCACTGAGAGCAGTCTGCAGTCTTCATTTTGTACTTATGTTATATATTGGGACACACATTGGGTCACTTAATTAAAACTGTTTTTAAATTTAAGTAAAATGGGATTTCAGAGACGAGTTTAACTAATATGGATAAATTATTAGCGTTTCATACAAGAGTAAACATTTTGCCTTCCACGTTTGGGAATGAATATGCTCGTAGTTTTAACAGTAAGTTTTGGACGATACACTGAATAGCCTGCGCAGAGACAGGAGCGAGTGACCGCTGGTGAATTGGACCGTCTGAGAATCATTAGAGTGACTTTTGCCTTATTTTAATAACCCTTTTTTAGGAAAAGCGTTGCCAAATAGTCCTTCCATGCCTGCAAACAAACAAAAAGGGCCCGAAATCACATTTTCATCCGAAAACAAGATTTATTTTCCTTCTCTATTTTCTCAACACCAATTCCATGTAGAGCTGAGTCCGCCTCTGTCTCTGCCCTCGTAGACTATTTGATCTGCCATTAAACTAGGTTTAACTCTTAATCTTGTTTCTCAATTACTGCGAGTCATTTCAATCATAAAAAACGTTTTCGTGTTCTATTGCGTTAGTGGTCTAACAGCTGTAATTGATGTCGACTTTAAAGTATCCAAACAGTGGAAGAGATTAGATTAAGATTTTGGACGCTCCAATAACATAATGATGTTTTATTGTCTTTTTGCTAGGTTGTAAAAGTTGGGCTTTTTATCAAATAGATCAGTTCCAGAACACGTATACAGCAACGTTCTGAGGTTTCGGCTTGTTGAACTGCTTCTACTTGACCCCAACACGTAGCACGATACAATGTTTAGTTTCTGATGTTACCTTAAGATAAGTAATGTTGTATTAAACCTGAAGAAAACGAGACGTTTACTGTGATTGCTGATCTCTTCGATGCCTTAAACCATTTTAAATCAACTTCTCCTTGAACTGAATAGTCAGTCTTTGATTAACAAACCACTCCCCCCCCCCTTCCCCCTCAGAGGCGCTAAACATTTTCGATTCTAGGACGTTTTTTACATATTTTAAGGCAAGTTTCTGATTCTGTCATCAAATTATCCCGCTAGGTAAATCGGTTTTCAAGCAAGAAACCCCAACTTTCAAGCAGAAGTGTTATGAAAAACATTTGACCTCGTTTCGCCATACAACGTCATAAGAAGCATAAAGGCACCAAAAACTCATTCCATTATATTTTCAAAGAGTACCATGGTAGTGACCCACAACCGTGTCACGGGTCTCTTGGCAGCCAAATGACTCAGTAAAACAAAAACGTGTTCAAACCAATTTTCGACATCCAGGGATGTATCTTTGAAACAGCAAAGGAAACCTTTGTGCATATTCATCAAAACTGGGTAACGGGTATTCGAACCGTGGCGTTAATAAAAGAGTAGGAGGGAGGACTGGAACCCAGAAAAACGGAAGTAAATAAGCGGAAGTGAGGATTGGGAATTATATTTCGCCAATCCCTCACGGCCAACTACCCTAGACTCGTACCCAGTCGCTATTGATTTATCCCCGCGCGCCTCAATCTTCTCTCCAATCTCCAATCCTCTCTCATCCCAAAAACACATAAATAGTGAATGGTGCGATTGTTAACATTTATAGATTTTCCTCTCCAGGCATGGGCAAAGTCAAGCTTAAGTACACACCTGGTCAATCGTGAAGCGTGCAATACTGCAAATTTTAATCATATTTCCAAACATGGTCATGTTTACCAGTGCCTATATTGAACATCTATTGAATAAGATTTTGTGATATATGGAATAATCAAAGTCGAGGTGTTACCAGCCGATCCAAAGGCTGAGGCTGATAACACTTACCGAGACCTTGATTATTTCGGGTATTACAGAAAGCTACTCTAATCATACATTGTTTTGAACAAAATAACAACATACCGTGGCACGGAACATAGTTGACATAGTAGACATCGCCCTTGGAAATCATGCGTTGCGCGCGCAAACTGCAGACAAGTCAGTTATCAGATAATTAACTAATCTGTAGGTTGCGCTTATTTTCAAAATAAACTGTAGGCTCTTAGCCAATCAGGAGGCACTCAGTAAGTACAATGTATAATAATTTTAGTTATATGTATATAAATTTATTTCAAAAAAGATATCTTGCAAA